GAATTAGCCAAGATCAAAATCAGCAGATTTTTGCTCGTAACATGAAATCAGCAATCGGCTAACTTATTGTTTTTATTTTGGTCTGTGCTGCAATGTTATGATATAAACCATGTGAGGCAGGTAAAGCACATTCCTGCTGCATTTGAATGCTGCTGTTATACCTGTAACAAAATGTCATAGCATTATTATATACGACTCACAGGCTAGTTGCCTCTTACTTTCGATGTAGCATTTTATTTGACTCATGTTATTTTTGTTTTATTTGACTCATGTTATTAATTTGTGCTGATACTGACAAATTACAATTAACCTGGGTAATTTGTACAAATAATGTCAACAGCTCTTAAGCACACCCTCAAGTCTGAAATTGTTTGTGTGATAGTCATTAATGAAAATGAAAATAAGGACAAATATACCTGGAAAGTCTTTAAAAGTTCAGAAAACTAAAAAATGAAATATTCTGTAGGACCCTTAATTACCCAAGGAACAATACAGAATATCCAGAGTCTTAGAGTGACAGGTAATCATCTCTATATCAGTTGAATTAAAAATGTATTGAAAAAGTGTAGTCATGCTTAGCTGAATGAAAAAAGTTGGCACAAATGCAGACTTGCATAAATCTTCAATGAACATATTGCTCTAGTAATAAGTATTTAGGACCTATGGTTCACTAAAGTTAATGGTCAATTTGTTCTGGGTCTAGACTCACAAAGGATTTAGTGACCTGCATTATTTCTCCTAATGCCCATGTTGTACGTTTTGCTCAATAGGAGATGACATGGTGTAATCAAGAGCAATCAACATTATGCATAACACAATCACTATCAGCTTCGTGCCTCTCTTAATGAAGAGCTAATCTCAAGCCATCCTCCCAGAATATAGGGCTTCCTTCAGACAGTGCATGCGAATCCCCTGAGCATGATCACCAACTCACAGCTGTTTATTAAACGACTCTGAATAGAGCACCAAGTCAAACAGTTTGACACTTAGAACATGGCTCAGTGAACAAGGACTAATTTGCCATAGTCAAAAGAAAACAGTCTGAGGACAATATGTTTGTTTTACTCAAGCTGGATTTGCAAGACGCACAGCAGTCAGACTTCAAAGCACAGCAAGCTTTCATCAGCCCCAAAAAGTGAAGGTAATTACTTGTGATCAAGCAAAATCTTGAGTGCAGCAGGAACATTTTGTCCTCCAGTGCCAAGTTTCGAGCACACATATTGTGCCGGAGTGGCTGGGTGTCGTTTATGATTCAGGGTCCTTGCTCTTTTGCTGACAGAAATGGGATACAGTCATTGTGACATCTTCTGCGTTCATTTTTCAAAGAACGTCAAATCAAACATGCATGAGTCTGTGACAGCGTGGGCCTGGAAGTCCCTATCTGAGGGCGAAGCACTTAGAGTGGCACAAGCTAGCTAATGCTTTGCACATCACATCCTAATGCCTCTATGGTCACATTGTCAGACTGATAGCTGGAGGCAGCCTTCAACAAGCCACTCTTATGGGGACATGAACTAGAGTAGGTCCCCCACCATGCTCTTCCCAGATACGTCTGATTAAAAGCAGCCAAGTAACTCCAGCCTCTTTTTTTGCTTCAACAAGGTCATGAACTATGTAACAGCACAATGCTCACATAAGTTGGGTAAGACTGATTTCAAGAGTCATTGAAGCATTTAGGGCTGCTGTTTAATTGAATTGTGCATTTGGGAGATCAAGGTTTTCAGGGTGAAGACATAGAAGACTGCCGAAGAGTGTTGAACAACGCATGAACCCTTAGAAGTTAGTTTTGTTTTATGATGCTTCTTAAATATATTTATGTAATTACATATTTAATTACACAGTAATACACAACGAATTACACTTATATTACATATCAACTGGTTTGAGTCAGCACCTTTGACTTATTTCCATTTATTTTGATGTCAAAAACACAATGATAATGGCAAAAAGGTAGTTTATATCCATAAAACAAGACCGTGCACAACAATCTCTTTTCATAAAATCCAAATCACAATCAATTTAAAACTGCAATACTTTTAAATGCAAAAGTGTTATCAATTTAAAATTCACAATCTGCACCTATGACAGAATTTCTCCACTTGTTTAAATGAGCTACAAGTGAGAATTACACCATGCTTTTGTTGTTGCTGACGTTAACTGCAACTTCTAAGGGTTAAAGCCATGTTTTGAGGGTGCTTGTGCCCTAACAGTAATCATTTAACACCTACTGTGATAAAAATCACAGCGTCACATGTGAGAAATAATCAGCAATCCAAAGAGTGCAGCTGATTTTACATGTCGAAATAAACAAACAGTGCTATGCAGATCCACAGCGGGGCACGTGGACATAGACACAAAGCCTGACTTATGTTTGAGAGTGGGTGTGTGCAGCTGGTGACGAGAAGCCTGTGATGAATAATCATGGGCCAAGTATTTCACAACTCCCCACAATAGTGCACTAACAGTTAAATGTCAACCCGTCAAAACACTGATTAGTGTTTGGCCTCTTTTAAACAGATCTCTGACTGTGACTACAATATTACTAAAGGCAATGAAGAGAAAAGCATCAAAGGAATACTTAAGATGAAATGTTAAGATGTTGACTACATGTTTTCAGCCCTGCTTTACACCATAGGTTAGTACCAGACATCAACTCTCGTATCAAATCAGCAAGCTTAGCATTTTTAGCACAAATTAAGTTTTGCGTTTAAGAAGTGTTTAGACTTTGTACATTAGTTGAGCATATCTGGTACATGAGAGTGAGGCAATTACTATTCAGTTACTATTCACCATGTAAGCCAATAACATACACACACACACACACACACACATATATATATATATATATATATATATATATAAAACCTAGATGACAGGCAGCTTCCTGCAGAGGCCTATGATTTGAGATAAATAAGTGGCTCCTCCACACAGATTCATCAGAGCTTATGCACTACTTTACCATCCAGGTCCTTAAGACCAATAAAACTACTATGAGCTTTTAGTAGGTGGCCAAAGCAATGTTCAAACATGACACGCCCAATGATTTTTTTACAATTTAATTTGCCATAATAAGCACAACCATGCCCATGAAATCAAAGTTTGCTCTTTCAGCTCAAGTCCAAACACTTTCTCTAAACTCGCTTTTTCCTGGTGGCCTTTACAACATGCCTCATGCTCTAAATGCCCTTACACGAGAATGGCATGACCAGCGGTAGTGCTCCTGCCCCCTTGGTAAAGCTGATCCTCGACCTGGGGCCCCTGTCTGGAGTAGCGGGTAAAATAAACTCCTCTCCCAGACACATTCTCTATTCCTGACTCACACAAATTAAGCTACTGCCATGGTCACTTTGCTTAGCAGTTTTGAAATACAAGCTGATAGACGAGAGTTCACAAAGATTTTGTTAAGGAGCTTGGCATTTACTTCTCTTCACTTAAAGAAAGAATTAAAAGTAAAAAACATTGCAGGGTTACTTTCTTTTTCTCCAATGAACAGTTCTTGTACCTTAAGTACATAATCTCATCTTTAAATGTCTTAATATCTAAAAAGAGATGCACAACTAAAACACACAGGCTCTAGAATAAAGACTCAGGCACATATGAGCTAATTACCTTTCACCTTTGCACCAAAGGCAATTCACTCTGAAGTAAAAGGAAGCTTTTACATTATCAGTATCCACACAGCCGTGTAAACACTGCCTGAGATTATACGGTGCCTAAGAAGTAGCCAAACAATTGTCATCAGATGGCAAAAAAGCAAGTGCAAAGAGCAGCGGCCGCATATATTACAGCACGTTTCCTAGAGGGAAACAGCACTGAATGAAATGAAACAGTTTCTGAATGAAAGCTTAAACTTTCACAACAGCAGAGACGCTAAGCTAAAATGGGACAATAACAGTGGAAGACGGGCTCTTGTCAGTATGTTACTATGTTATTACAACAACATTACCCATTAAAATTTCATTGTAATGCCTTTAGACATGACGGGTGTTTTATTTCCTAGGACTAGACCTCAAATCTGGTGAAGCTGCTTCAGGCTAGCTCCAGTAGCCCTCGCCTTGCCCTCGTCTTGCAGTGGTGAAAGTCATGTTTCCCTCAAGTCTCCCAGAATCACACTAACGAGGGAGGAAGGGCCGTTATTCCCCCCCACAGCGTGTGCCCCCCTCAGGTTGGCTAGACTCTTCCTAACTGTTAAGGATGTCGGGCTACTGACATGCTCCTTTTACCGCGGACAGATCAGCTGCCCTCGGCGGCGGACACGAGCACTCAGACCGAGACTCCCAACTTCTCTCGCCGCCACCACACGGAGCGAGGCTAGGCTACTGCAGCGCGGCGGCACGAGCCCCACATTTCCCCGCACATGGATTTTTAAAAGCTCTGTTACAAGTTAGACAGAGTTGCACACACATGAAATAAGCTGCTAACTTCAGGTAAAAAATAAACGTGGTGTATTTTATCGCACTGATGTTGCGCACGGGCTGCTGAAGTCACACATCTCCGAGCGGCGAGGCTCTCCCATCTTTTCTAAAGCGCTTCAAATGCCCAAGGAAACATGCCAACCAACCGTGCAGCGCATGACAGTGAGCGGAACAATGAATGCCAAACCACGAAACGTGCTCGAAATGTGGGGAAGTGGGTTGCTCGGAATATCACTCTGCTAGCCGGACCACAGAAAAAGCCAAATTCCGCGTTCCTCACAGCACCAAGTATCCAGAAAAAACACACACGCACACGTCCTCAATCGCGGGCTGTTGTTTTACCTCACAAAACACCGCGCGGTGTGAACTCCGAGCTGAAGCCGAAAACCTCCCGTTTCTGCTCGGAGCTCAACAAACACGAGCCCGATCCCGCAGTTCAGCCGCGCTACTTCGCCGCTTCTCTAAGTGACTGCTCCATTGTTAGCCGAGGTCGGAGCTAGCGCTCAGGCTACAAACACGTTCAATGCAAAGCGCACACAAAAAAGCTCTCCAGCCATGAGGTGGGAAAAGGGATTCGGAACTTACTTTCAGATCCAGTCAAAGCACGGCGCTGGAAACAAATATCCTCCCGAGCTGAATGCGCGTAGTATTTTTCTCCTTTTTTACTTCGCAAACACTGAGTGGGGGGGAAAAGCGCACAGCGTTTGGCCAGAGTGTGACTGCCTGAATCAACTAACGTAGTGCACGGCAAGTTGAAGTGTCAAATTACATCGGCTATTCTATTACCACAGAGCCATGCTGCCGGCTGCTAACAAAACGTGTCCCAGAGTCGCGCGGCGTGTACCGGCTAGCGCACCAGCCTCGGCCAACGGAGCGGATTCACACAGCGTTTTGTAGTTTTTTATGGCTCCATTTAAGGCGCCTTTTAGGATTTGTTTTGTTTTGGTAAAAATGATTTCGGCGTGATAACAAAGAAGACCAGTCTTCACCGTTTTGATGTAATCACGTTAGCCTGTAAACGTCAATTATAAACTGAAACAGATTTTAGAGAGAGGGGATTATAATAATTGATTATCTATGGATGTGTATTTACACACTGACGTGCTTAGCGTAAGAAAAAAAACTCGTCTAACAACTGCTCGGAGAAATGCATTTAGTAACAGCGTAATTACTATATGAGGCTGTGCATGCTGACAGATTGCTATTCATAGTGACACATTTTATCTCGTCACACACATGCACGATCGCTTCGCAGCAAATCCCGTCTGCCCTTCTTTTTCTCGGCCCCCACAGATGGAGGGAATGCCTCGCTCCGTATTTTGCGAGTGGCCGCGCGGCGCTGAAGCTCTGAATAACAAAGACATGTTGGAGAGCAGCAGCGGCCTGGCGGTGACGTCAGGGAACAATGAGTCTCCCAGCAGTGCCGAGACACACAAGCCTCCTCCTCCTCCTCCTCCTCCTTCTTCTCCACCTCCTCCTCCTGCTCCTCCTGCTCCAATGCTGCACGACTGAACTGCCCAGGGGGGAGGCCACGCAGTTCCGAGTCTCGAGGAGTGCATCAGATAGAATCACTCACTGCACAAGCTGAGATTGAGTCTGGCCACCACCACTGCCCGAGATTTCCACTGCGCCTTGTTGAGTAGGAGGAGAAAAGGTTCTCTTGGATGAAATGTGCAAATGATGACATGGATGCACAACTGATCCCAAATTACCCTTTATCACGCAGTGCATTGAGATATTATAGGACAAGTAATAGAGGGCAGTGGTGCAATGGGACATGCAGGGTCCCTGAATAGTAAAGGTTCTTTAATCAAATGTCTTATTACAATTACTTTCTTTAAAAAATAATTAGTGCATTTACATGCTTCTTAAAAATAACTGAAATTGCTATAAACAACTTTCTTAAAGAGTCCTTATCTTATGATCTCAAATACCTGAAATCCAGCCTACATTCATCCTAAAGTTAAAATAACAAATCTGGCTTTGTATATTTATGAGGGTTTAACCTTAATGTCTGTTCTTTTTCTCCAGCTTCCCTTTCACTATATTTCTTCAAGACCTGCACAGTGCTTTCTAAAGAAGCATTAGCTGCATCTTCTGAACAGTGTCCTTAGCTTTTCCACTGCAAGGCTTTTGACACTAATGCATAGGGCCTTTTCTCTGAGCACTCTGTCTCAAGGACACTAGCTCCTGTACAGTTATCTAAGTTGGCAGGGATAAATCTGGCAGATGACATCATTGGTCTCAGGCACTCATTCATTTTTATTTCTGTCCTGTTCTTAGAAGATGGTGATGTTCCAAATGACAAGAGAGAGGTGCCGTGGTCAATGTCAAAGCATTGCTTTATCAGATCCATATTTTTCCCCTCACATGACTTGAATATGCTGCCTTTTGATTATGTTTGCTGTCAAATGATTCCTTCGCTCCATATCATTGGGATGTGGTGCTGTGAAAGTCATTTTACAGATGCTGAAGTCGTCTGAGTTTATGCCGAAGACTGGTGCCGGAGGTTTCACAAAGGGGGACATGTCCATGTAACATCAGTATCAAAGCATGGCTCTGCTTATGGTGAGCAACCCAGCGTCTATTGTCATATACGTTTCAGGCCGCTCATAATATCCCATGCTATGGACCATTAATCATGGTTTTGTGAAGTCGCTGAAAGTCACCAGGGTTCATCATGTCTGGGGAAAAGAAAACACAAGCAGTCAATGAACAGCACACTTTAGTTCAAAGCCAGTTGTTGTGCGAACTCCTGGTGTTCATGGGTAAGCCCTCAACTCTTGCGTTCCGAAACAATATGGCCAGATGGCTGCCAAGAAGATGGATGGACTATAGGTGGAGTGACTTCAGCTTGACTGAATCGCTGTATAATTTTATACATATACACAGATGTGAGGACTGGGAGTGGAACTTAATGTTCTGATTTTATGCTTTAGCAAATGCATAAATGCAATGCATCAAATGATGGAGAATAACTCAGTTTATTATTATGGTGCTAAAAAATGTAGCATTTTTATATGTTTGATTTATTTGCCTAATTACACTGACATCCCTTGTTTTTCCCCTTATGTCAATGCCCTTATATCTAATCATATGTTCTTTTTTATCCTTCGTGGCCGTGTTTAGTTTTTAAAAAGTCACTTGAGCACTGTATTCAGGTTTCGCCATGCTAAGGTACGTCTCAGCTGGAGGTGAGTAGAACCAGACCGCTACAGTGCACCTCAGCTCAGCTAATTCCCTGACAATCACAGGGGAAATGATTGATGCTGCTGGGGCTTCAATGCTACATGATGGAAGGAGAGTTTCAGTTCTGCTGACATAAGCTTTCACACACAGACCGAGCTTTCACAGATTATTTACAGCTCCTATCTGCTTTACACAGTACGCTATCGCCCTCGCAGACCTCCGCCGAGGCAATATGGGTTCCTCTGCCAAACCTCCATTAACATGGTAGGAGAGGAAGATATTATGAAAATGTGTAACAAAACAAGGCCGGAAATGCAGATAAAGGGACAAGCGAGTGGGTGCTGGTGAGGTGTTACAGAAGTGTGCAAAGATTAGCCTCCACAGAAAGGCAGAGGTGCGCAATGTATTTGACAACAAGACACAAGAGAAATCCGTTTAAGTACACTATTGATCCTCTTTGGAGCACGGCCCAGCCACTGAAAGTAGAGGCAGGAGCGAGAGCGAAAGAGAAACAGAAAGAGAGAGAAAGAGGGAGAGAAAGAGATGCATCTGGCCAACTATTTGCAGGAGTGGAAGAGGAACTCTCTTGGAGACTCCCTCTCTCCCCCTCTTTTATTTCAGTGAAAAATGTGAGCGGTGGTAGATAAAGCAGACAGCCTGTACCCCATGCTGACTGGCTCGCCTGGCTTTGGAGAGGGTAGAGGCAATCAATGTGTGCTCACAATAGAGCAAGAGCATTGAGAGAGCTAACTGCTCCCTCAGGCCATGCACGAAGGAGGGGAGATGGGGGAGGGAGAGCTAGCAAGAGGGGGGCTGCAGAGACAGAGAGTGAGTTAAGGTTCATTTTGAACTTCTTAATGAAGAACTAAGGGTGGAGGTTATTTATTTTCCCTCCTTTTCCTGAACTAAGAGTAGATTAAGTTCAGCCCAGATCTCTCAGCTTATCCTTCTGATGAGTCACGAGTAATAGCAGGGATATCCCACTACTACTACGTGGTTAAGTTGCGCCATGTCAACATTGTTTACAATACATGATTGATCACAAAGTATACAGCAGATGCATAAATTATGAATCATAGATAGCAAGCATCACACTTAATGGTTAATGGTGTTTCCTATAAAGGGATGTAATGCAGTTAACTGAGTATTAGGCTACAAAGAACCTCCAGGTAATGCTTATAACCACCTTCTGCTGGCGATTGGTTGTTTATTGAATACAGCCCAATTTTTAAAATCTTAAACTTTCTCAGTAAGACAAAATACTGTATAAGGCATGGCTTGCTGCAAGAACCTAAACAGATATTCTGTGCTGCTGTGATACTGAAGCTGTCTTCTATTATTTAGAAAGACAATAATCAAATTATTGCTTTGCTGCAGTAAACAGGTTTGCATTGATCTACACAGCCTTTTAAGTCTGTCAGGCCTCAACTCAGGGATTTTGCTAATCTGTCAGATTTTTCGCTGGGAGCACAATTCCCAACTGGCCTTTGGTATTTTCTTAAAAATTTTAAAGAATTTAGTAAATAAACAATTAAACGTATAACGACATGATATGCTTTTCAGTCATTTACTATTACGCATGTGCATCGTAGGGAATGGAAGCAGAGTCACACTGGTATTTTTAACAACTGTGTTGTTAAATACCTGTTTTAAAAGAAAAATCCTACTTGTTGGCCAGTTCTCCTACAGAAGCTGCAAAACCATTATAGCAGCCTCCTGTAAATCTTGGAGCAGAAAACAGGATATCATACAAGAGCCTGAAAGAACGGCTATCAAAAAGCAAGGAAAAGATTATATCAAACAGCAACAACCGGAGATAAGACCAAACCTAAAAAACAAGTAAAAAGCGAGTCTGTTTCTGGTGCTCGTGTTATCCCCATTACATAATATTCACATGCATTCATGAATACTCTCATTTGTTATAGCTGAGAAATAGCAGCAGTGCTGAGGGCCTGGATCTCCTCGCTACGAAATAAATAAAGCCCTTGTCTGAGAATGACCAGCATTTTCTCAGAGCCTTTGGATGTGGATCATATTACTGGAGAGCTGACATGAGCCGACAGGTTGAGACTGAGAATACCTTTCTGTGCATGACATCATGTTGTTAGCATGACTCCAGCAGACAATTATCTCTCAGTTTAAGGCTTTATTGTTAGTATAATTGATTAAATATTGAACTTCACTGCTGGGTTTCTTCTCTGCAATCACCGCTCAGGGCAAAAATGTCAACATTAGACTGAAGTGGAAATTAATATTGCCCTTTAAGAAGAAGAGCCAGACAAGTCTGGCTACACTACTAAGTCTAACTAATATCCTAAAGGTTTTGTTGGTCCACTCCACTTAGAAGAAAGTTGGAAGAAAGCATATGCATTATGAGGCCTTCAAGACAGGAGGTGCTTGCTTTAGTTTCGGGAGTCCAGGCATGTTTCACCAGCACAACAAGTGGGCGCTTCAATTGGGCAATTAGTGTACAAGTGGCATGAAAACATGCTAATGAAGTTAATCCTTCAAAGGAGTGATGGCTCTCAGGCTCTGATGATTCAATGACAGCGATGCTAATGCCTCCCGC